ACACCAGGCTGAGTGGTGCCCTGGATTCAGTAGGGTCAGGGATGTCATACAGAGGAGGAGTGGGCCCATGTGAACCTCATGAAATTCAGCAGGGCCAAGTGCAAGATCCTACATCTGGGCTGGGGCAGTCCTCAATATCACTACAGGCTGGGGATGAATGGATCCAGAGCAGCCTGGAGTTGAAGGACTTGGGAGTACTGGTGGATGAACAATTGGATGTAAGTCAGCTGCACCTGCAGCCCATAAAGCCAACCATATGCTGGGCTGCATGGAAGTGTGACCAGCAGGTCAGGGGAGGGGACTGTCCCACTCTACTCTGCTCCCAGAAACCCCACCTGGAGTACAGCATTCAGTTCTGGAGCCCCTAGCACAAAACATGGACCTCTTGGAGAGGGTCCACAGGAGGGTCAAAAGTTGATCAGAAGTCTGGAACACTTCTATGGAGAAAGGCTGAGAGAGTCAGGTCTGTCCATCCAGGAGAAGGTTCTAGAGAGACCTTGTTGCAGCCTTTCTGTACTCAAAGGGGACTTTATAAGAAAGAAGGAGAGAGACATTTTACCAGGGCCTGTAGTGATGGAACAAAGGGCAATGAATTTAAACTAAGAAGGTAGATTTAGATTAAATAAAAGGAATAAATTCTTTAAGAGGATGGGGAGGCCCTGGCACAGGTTGCCTAGAGAAGTTGTGGATGGCCCATCACTCAAGTGTCCAAGGCCAGGTTGGGTAGGGTTTTGAGAAACGTGGTCTGGTGAAAAATGTTCCTGTTTGTGGCAGGGAGGTTCAACTGGGTGATCTTTAAAGGTCCCTTCAGACCCAAATGATTCTGTGGTTCTATGATTGTAAGATCAGCTGATTTTTGTCCTTGGAAGAGCTAGGACTGAGTCACACTGTGTCTTCTCCAATGTCTTTTTAAAAAGGAAGTTTCTAGTTCCCATCTTTTGACCCCCCAGGAAAGCTCATGGGCCAGGCTGGCCCAGGACAGAACCAGACGAAAGTCTGAATGCTGTTTATCTGTGCTGGGGGCTCCAGTTGTGAGTCATGAAAAAAGATCTCTGTTGATTCCCTTTGCAAACAAACAAGCAAACTAGAAAGAAAGAGGAAAAGGAAACTCACCTACCTCACACCACAGATACCTTTGCTGTATCCTGCTGGGCAGGTCCTGCACACTCTCATCCTTCTTGCTGGCGTGCTGCATCCCCACAGGGTGATAGGAGCTGTGTCTGTAGGGATGCCAGATCATGGCAAGGACGAGCTGTGACACAGCCACTCAAGTATTGGTGTGCTCACAGCCCAGACTTGTGTTAATGCAGGTACAGGGGTGATCCAGCAGGGAAAAGAGAAGATGGTGTGTTGAATCTTGGGTGTCACAGCAAGGGGAGGAAGGGATGGCAAATTACAGGCTTGAAAAGATCCTGACTGTTCCGTGCACAAAAAGAGGATGAATGGTGTTGATCCTGCAGATGCTTCCTCTGGGCAATACAATTTCTAGCTGCTTCTGCAATGCAGTGACCATGTGTTCTTGTTAATTACTGCTAATTGTGGCAAGAAGTGATCTAAAAACATTTGCTTACAGACTGCCTTATATTGGAGAACAGAGCTTTCAAATGACCTAAATGTTATGGAAGCACATATACCATTGGCATCCAGTAAAAACATGCTTTTAAGTCACTGAGCTGCTTCTGAAAATCCCATTTGTGAATCTTTAGGATACAAGTGCAGCAAAGGATGGTGAAGGCTCTGCCATGTCCACTTCCACCAGAGATGGTGAGAGGACCCTGTAGGTTACAGACTTGTGGAAAACACTCAGAGCAGGCAGCCTAGCAGCTCCTCCTCACTGCTGGCCACAGGTTGCTGGATTTTGGGATCAAGGTGACCATACAGAGCAGAGGCAAGGATGACAGAAATCTTTGCTAATGACTGTTTGCATGTGCAACCATAGCAAAAATATCTCTAAAGTGGCTGGGCATCTGTCATTGGTGATTAATGTATTCATTCATAAATGAACCTGAACTGAACACGAGCAGGTCCTGTCCTCTTAGGAGGGAAAGGTGGGATCTTGGTGTTCCTTCCTCTCTTTACTGGCAGGAATTACAAAAATTTATAGTGTTAGCACGCTGCTACCTATGCATATTCCTCATTGGCTTTCACAGGCAGGCCTTATCAGAGTGTGTATTTTTGGCAACACAATGAAGTCACCCTGGTTTCGTATTAAAGCTTTTCATTCAATGGCAGTTTTATTTAAATAACATAATAATATGCTCTAAAAATCCTATATATCAGCAAAAAGATTCCCCAGAGCTGCAGCCATCAGCAAAAATAACACTTCAAGGGTTTGCATTGCCCACAGGTGAGGAACGAAGAAGCTGATATGCAAAGCTTTGGCAGTGTTGCTGGTACCCATGGCAGCTCTTTTAGCTGTGATGCCAATGCTTGTGAGCTTTGCCAGCTCATGCAACACAGGGAAAGAAAATCAACCCAGAAACAAATAAAAAATCTCTTAAAATTGCCTACGTTAAAGCAGTCTGCTTCTGAGACCCCCAATGAGAGAGAGCTGTCAGGGAAAAGTTAATAGGATAAAAGTGCCTAAATACCTTTTCCTATCTAGGCTTTAATAACTAACAAAGGCTATAAATATAGAGCATCTAAAACAAGCATCTTAATGTCAGATTTATGTAAGTATCAGGTGCTGAAGCATATGCTGTTCACAATACCTAGGAAACCAGTTTTTGCCAAGTCTCCAAAACAGCAGAATATAATCCATCTCAGTACCAATTTATTTATTTGTGATGCATCAGAGTGGCTGATAGAGGCAGGGTAAAAATCTCCCCACCAGTCAGTCACTTCCACACCAACATGAGATGAGGCAGCCTCTGTGACTACTCACTCTACCATATTTCCCTGTCTGCCTGGCTGCACGAAAGGTGAGACCCATCATGTTGTGAAAACACAGATTCTTGGAATGGAACACAAGTATTAATGCTTAAGAGGTCCCATTTAGGTTTCTCTCTTATCCCAACTGATTTGGATTACTGATTTTTATGAGACTGAAAGAATTTCCCATCTTTAAGATTGCTGTCTGTCCATCAAATTCAATTGAAATCAGTCAAGTGGGTTTTGAGGTAGAAGAGAGGGAAGAGAGGCTGTACCAATGATCCTGTGAAGAGGGTAACAGCAAGCTGACCAAGCTGGTTATAGTCCCTGCACTTCACTAACTTCCTTTAGTTATGTGAAGCTGTTATGTGAAGAACTGAGAATTAACACTGGAAGTGTGGGCAGATGGTGTACAGTGATAGCATTTCTGTCACTACCTCTGTTCATCAGACTTAAAATATTAAATGCGAGAAAAATCAAAAGTGGAAGCTGGAGTAAAGACTCTGCATGTCTCTTTCTGGAGGATGTAGGATCAAACCACAAAGATCTTTAAGGGAGGTAAACATTTAAGAAACTCATCCTTCTGAGGAAACTCATCCTTGTGGCCTCCAAAGACAAGAAATGAGACTACTGACCTTGCTCCAGCTTTGTTTACATCTTAAGTAATTTACAGTTAACATTCTGAGGTTAGTTAACAAGCTGTTTTTGGAAAATGTCTCCGCTTCTCTTTGCAGGGTCCTTGCCATTTCCTGCAGCTTCTCAGAAATACAACAGGATATATTTTTCCACTGGCTGTCCTAATTTGGAAGATTCCTGAAGAATAAAGTTTCTGTACTTTTATGTGCTTTATTTTGCTTTGTGCTAACAGTCTGAAGAGAATTGAGGTTATGAATTAAGCACAGAAGTATAGACAGATGGTCCTTTCTATCAGAGGGATTGGATTTCCAGTCACTCCTAAGTTTCATGATCTCGGAGGTCCATTGAACAATTGCCATATAGACCAAAAGGTGAATCTTCAGTGTGGCTTTTGGCAGATTTACCACACAAGCCTGAGGTCAGCACCAGAGCAAGATACAGCTCTGCTCTACTGCACTAAACACAGGTATCCAATGTAGACAACTACTTTTGAGGAAGCTTCCTTCCAAATCCACAACAAAGTTCATCAATAATATACTGCATTATATGACTAATTTAATCTCAAAATGATGTCTAAGAACATGATGTCCCCATTTAAGATGCCTGAAATGATCACTCACACCCTAAAAGTGACTGTCCCTCAAAGGGCTAGAAATAGAGCATAAATGACAATCCCACATGGAAACAACCCTTGCTGCCTAGTGGCAGTGAGGTGTTTAGAAGACACACTGCCCTCAGTTAAACATAATGTCAGATGTTTGCCTCAGCTGCCATCAGTCCCCCTTTTATTCTTCAGTCAATTATAGCAGCAGTTATTTGTGACTTCCAAGTGCCCATCCAGAGCATGTGAGCAGTGCTGGCTGTGCAGTGCCCGTGCCTTGACAGACCCATCACCAGAGTGCTGCAAGCCATGGGCCAGGTGACCCAACCAGCCTTTTGCAGCAGACGGAGAAGTACCTGTGGTACTTGTGGCTGCTGTGCAAGCCACACACTGGGCAGTGGAACAGTGGGCATAACAGAGTAAGAACTGGCTGAGATGCATCTCACTTCTATTCAGATAACCCATGAGTCATCCAACTCCCATAAACTACACATTGGTATGAGTATATAAAGTAAATGGAGTTAGACCCCTCAGGTCATCAAAGTCTGCGTGTGGGCTGCTGCCTGCGTGGTGAAACACTTTAATACCTTTTAAACTTACTAAATATTTGAGAAAAATGAGGTTTATCCTCTCCTAGTTGCCTGTCATCATGTCCATGACTTCAGCGGCACTGCACAGTCCCACTGCACCCTTCCCTTGCTTCATGCACCTGCATGTTGGGAGAAACAAGGAAAGGCTGTTTAATTGTGGGAGAAAGTTCACAACAGTGGAAGGAGTTCACAAGTTACACAGAGCAGCAAGTGATGTCTAAGCCTACTGGTGATGTGGCTTGTCATTCTGGCTGGGAGGGGAGGGGCAGGCTAGGACAGAAGCACTTTAAAAGAGACTGAGGAAGTGAATCTGTGATGCCACTGCAAAGCAGCCCTTCAGGAAAAGCCAATTACCTACCCAGCCTCCTGGAGATTACAAGGAAGAGCACCTTGAGGTGAAACAAAGGAGAGATGAGGAGGATGGCAATGAAAGGACTTGGGCTGTTCATTTTCAGTGCAAGTGAGTACTAGTTTGGTTATGTCCTCAAGGGTTGGGTGGAAGGAAACAGCACTACAAAGTACAAGGACTCCAGTGCACTTTGTATGTCTCTTTTTTGTTTAGTGAAGGTTCCTTTGTGTTTATGGCCAGACAAGTATGTGTACCATCTCTGTCCTGAGTGTCCAGACACTCAGGCATCTCTCAAAATTGTTAGGAGTGGGAAAAATGCTGCTCTTTATCAACTTGGAAAGTATTTTTCATGAACGGTTTTATCAGTTTCTGTTAATACAGTATTTACCTCTGAAGAACATACTTCCTTTTCTGGAAGTCTCAGTTCCACTGCTTTTTATCCTGTGTCATCTTCTTATATCAATGTTGCTACACCTTATTCCAGGCCTCAGACCAAGCTACACACATGGCAATTGCTTGGGGTTTTTTACTAAAAATCCTGGAAACCTCACTTCAACAATAAGATCCACAAAAAGGAAAGTCACAAAGTTTAAAGTAATCAGAAAAAGTGGATGGGCTCTATATGCAATAAATGTGACTTGGGCCATGGTTTGATGATCATTATGTAACTTGTGCAATGCCATTAGTATTCACTCTCCTTTTCCCTTATTCTCACCTTTCATGCTAGGCAAATTAGAGAGAAATAAGCTGTCTCTCTAGTAATATGTCGACTATTTGTCCTCTCTCCTTTTTTTGGAGTTCTTTCAGAACTTGCTTCCCCTCCCTTCTGCCATATTTTGAATAGATTCTGTTTTCCCATAGAAAAAAAAAACCCAACCTCTAAAGAATAATCCACAACATTTAGACATGCTGACTATGAAGTGAAATATGGTGGTGAGAAGCGAGAAGGAGGAAATCAGCCTGAGTCTGACATCTCAGGATAAAACTGTTGCTTCCCTGAGAAAGGGAAGCTTTTTCTGGGATGCAGAAAGAGATGTGGGTGACAAATGAAGAGCACCAGAAGCAGTGGGACATGAGGGTGACAGCAACAGATGAATAAGTGTGCTACAGGCTGTGCCTCACATGCAGCTGGGTTCAGCTGCTCCCCAGCTCTGCCCCAAACATGTCTGGAAGAAAAGAAAGATCTTATTTATTGTAGGATTTGACTCATCCAACTGGAAGAAGGAAAAGAAATCTTAGGGTTGGGCAGTTTCTTCTCTGTCTCAGGGCTGTGTTTATGACCTGTCAGTGAACCCCAGCCCAGTGGAACCAGTTTCTGAGGGACAAAAGGATCGGGAAATGGGTTTTGCTCCATTTTCACCTAAATGCAGGAAATCATCTCTATCCAGTTACAAGAAGCAAGGAGAAAGCTTTCACAGGTGTCTCTCATCCGGAGGGCAGATGAAAACAGCAGTCAAAAAGAGCCCCGGGGCTATGCAAACATGGCCCTTGCCCTGGGTGCTCTGGAGCAGAGAAAGATCTGGGAGTGGCTGCAATAAAAGCATGGTAGAAATACTTTGCCCTAGTTTCCTTCTCACAACTGTCATCAGTTGTAAATGAAATAATCCCCAAGAGAACAGAAGCCACCCTGCCATGTCACAGAGGAAGAGGTGAAAACACACCTCACTAATGAACTCTGGGAGCCCACAGAACAACTCGGTCGTGGGGCAGGGCATGCAGAAAAACGAGAGTTTAGGCTAAAAGCAGATCCCTGTGCCAACTGTCCCATGGCACCCTGTGTCATTACCTGAATTGTCACCCCAGGTTCTTAGTGCAGTGACAACACAACCTTTTGATGTTAACCCTGTGCTGTTATTTTCTAAGGGACTCTTGTTCACTGCTAGTCAAGGATCTGGCAGTGCTTAGATTGACAATGGTGTTCACTCACTGACTTAGTGCACAGGGCTGAATGCTTTTCCTGTCTAAAAGAGTGGGTGTTCACAACCAGTTTGCAATTTTAGGTGGAATCTAGAAATCCTTTGCTCTCTCCCTTATACATTACACTTCCTTATAGATCTAACCTGGACAAAGATATGGCAGAATGAGGACCCAAAGTCTGCTAGGTGGCAACTTTTCAGATGAATCCTCTCCAGGGAACAGTGACTCAGCTTTCATAAGCAAACCTTTGCCATCACATGCAGCATGGCCCTCATGGGGGAAGCCCTCCTCCTCTTTCCTCCTTACTCCTCCATGTTCCTCTTTGCCACGGGAGAACCTCTGAGCAGCACTTTCTTCCTTGCCATTTACAGTTTTCCCAAATTATTTCCACAAATGATGGTGCCATTAAAAAAAAAAAAGAAGCAACACCAAAACCTCAAACCAACAAACCTAAACACAGAACCCACACAAACTGTTAGGAGAAAGCAGGTGTTTTTAACCATGAATTCCCACAGGCATGAAGGTCACCTATGGCAGGGCAAACATAAATGTCCAGCTCAATTCTGAGAATAACAAAGACCTGCCCACCAGGCAGTGCTCAGACATGATGAATTAAGAGCGAGTCAGAGGGAATTCAGTGTAAAAGAAACACCTGCCCTGCACCCTGCATGCTTCCTCAGGGCACAGAGGGATTTCTGTTTAATTCAACTCTCAGCTATTCCTGTGCTTCAGAGGCAGGAGCTGGAGTTCTTGGAGAAAGGTGACTACTACCTTACTCAGGGAAAAAAAAACCTAAAAGCTTTTCTTCCCTTGTTTCTTTCAATCACTCTTTGCTTCTCTAGGTTTCTCTGTTTTCAGGGATGAAAAACATGAAAAAGTTTTGATTCCCTAGCACAAAATGTCACTTTTCTATGGATTTGGATCGAGGCAAGTTATTTGACAGTTTTCCTGATCCTTGAAATTTGACAATATCAGTTTGTCAGTTTAGCCTGAATCCTTAAGACTGCTGATGCACTTGTAGTATCTGTTTATCTGTCTCCCTCTGTACATTCTGAACTGTCAAAGGGTGTCAGTCATGCTGAAGGAGGGTTCAGGAAAAAAATAAAGAATCTTTCTAAATTTTATGGCAATATATGAGTAGGTGAAGAAGAGGGAAGCAAGGAGCACAAAGCAGAGTTTAGCTCTAAGCCATCCTGTGCAGCAGCTTCCCAGAGCCAATCAGCCCCAGCACACATCACCTCTTGCTCGGTGGGGAACGTCCTGGCTGACAGGGAATGAGGGGTTTTTGTGGCATGTAAGGAAGCCAAAGACACTACCATGGAATCCAGATGTTGTTATTTTTGCTGAATGCAGCATTTATTCTCTTCCTAGTTCTGGTGTCTGTTCATGCCCTCACTGTGGAAGCACCTGCAAAGGAAATCAAAGTGGCAAGAGGAAAAAATGTTACCCTGCGCTGTAATTTTAAATCAAATTCAGTTCCTGACAGAGGAGACCTGGTAGTCTGGAAGAAAATCAATAGCAAGGTAAACTGAGCTGCATAAAGAAACAGATGAGAAGGTATCCAAGAAGGGGCAGGAGATGGAAGCTGTGAGTGGGAATGGATGTTGACAAAAAAAGACTTCTTCAAAATGTTTTTTAAACTCAGAACTGTGTAAACAGAAGTGCTGAATCTAGATGCAATTTATCCCAAATCTATTGCATCTAGGCAAGCCTCCACCCCTCTTCCTCCTCTCTCTTGGTCTTACAACTGTTTACTGAGGATACACCACTGTAGGATTTACATCTACTGAAACATGTGAAACACTCAGATGATTTCTATAACCATGCATCTCTATGAACATATATGTCTAATACACCTATCTTTGGTACTATATGTAGAAAGTTTTATGTTGATGATAACAGTACATGGAGAGATTCTTGAGGTTTTCTACATCCATTTGAAGTATTTGAAAGTCAAGAAACTTTTAAAGTTCTCCTTGACTTCTTGGGAATTAGTGAGAGAGGAAGCAAGCTTTGGAGATCTCCTTGAAAGATCTGCCGAGCGTTTCTTCTCTGGAGATCCTTGCTGGGAGAGTTTGTGTAACCAAAGGATAATTTGACTGACATGGGTCTCAGACAAGTCTCATGCTGTCCTCTTCTCATGGTGAGGAAAGGTGAATAAGCCCCAGCAAAGGAAATCAGTTGTCTCTGATTTCAGCTAAGTTGTGAGAAGGGGATTCCTGATGGAAACAGAGATCCTTTCTAATTTCTATGTTTTGGTTGGCTTCTTCTCAAACTAGTGTAGTTGAAGGTCCTCTTTTCCAAGCTGTTCTTTAAGAGTGGGCTGATTGATGGAGTTACATGGCAGACTCACAGCAGAAACCCAGACTGATGGTGTCCCCTCCCTCTCTGTGCCAGGTTGATGCTGTGACGCGGTATTTCGATGGGCTGGTGCAGTACGGGGAGGGCTACGACGATCGCATCCAGTTCAGTGGCGATGTTGACAGTGGGGACATCAGCATCACCATCAGTGCTGTGACCATGGAGGACAATGGCACGTACGCCTGCAGCGTCCGCCTCCGCGAAGACCCGCCCCGACAGTCCGCACTCCTGGATCTCTTTGTCCTCGGTGAGGTGACACAGGCAGTGCCACACCCCTGTCAGGCACATCTGCCCTTCCTCTAATGTCCACACGGGTTTAAACAACAGATTGTCTAACAGCAAAGAAAAGTTGTCATCCCTAATTCCACCTAATTGCCTAATTTGGTTTTTTCCTACTCTCATGGAAGGACGCTGGGATGGGTAGAGCACGCAACTCCCTCAGACACCTCAGCCTTTAGAATTGTACAGCTCACGTTCCTAATAATCATCATTGCAAGGCTTTCCTCATCCCCCCTGGGTCCTGTCATGCTCCAGTTATCAAAGGATGGGTTACCTAACGCTATTAGACATAGCCCAAAAAGCATCTTGCCATTCTTTCTTGGCTTTCCAGTGCCAAAAAGGGAGAAACAAATTAGAAACAAATTAGAAACAAATTAGAACCAATTTCACTTTAAGTTCCTTTAAGATGAAGGTAGCTGGTGCAAGACCAGCCTTTGCTTGCAAGAATAAAAACCACAGATGCAAATGGGCTGAAACAAGAAACTGCTTCTGATTAATCCAACTCCTTTTTTCTTCCTTCAGTTGCACCATCCAAGCCTGAATGCAATATTGTGGGGACAGCACAATATGGACAGACAATCAACCTAACCTGCATTTCTCATGAGGGCTCCCCAACACCCACATACACCTGGAAAAGCTTCAATGTGCAAAATGAGCCCCGTGTGCTACCACACCCAGAAGGTAGGGGGAATCCAAAGACATCAGGGTGTTGAGGTCTATGCAAATGAGGGCTGGAAAGATTTTAAAATGCAAATACAAAAACACTCTTAAGGCTTATTCTAGGATGTTCTCTGAACAGGATTTTGAAAAGTTGTCATTTTGATACAAGTAACTTAGCAGGGGGAAAAGGACTCTTACCTGAAGTAAGAATGGTCAGAAAGACTTTAACTTCAGCTCTCCCCTGGTGAGAAAGCTGGATGGCTCTGGAAGCAGACAGAAATAATTATTTCTCAATTGCTGGGAGTAATGCATAGCATGAGGAACAACACTGAGTTTTCAAACTGTCTTTACATCCCAGCTTGCTTGACAATGAGCAGATCCTTTTCTAAACTGAAGGAAACAAAAGCTGGCTCTGGAAGCTTTCTTCCAATGCTGATCCCTCACCTAGAGGAAGGGGGTATGAGAAAGTTAGAGCATGAAAAAGGCTTCTGGTTCTCTAGGACTGACACACAGGCCCTAATATTTTATTTGCTTTCATTTTAAGTCAGAATCTGGAAGGAAAAAGGAGCTGAATTTCCACAACAAGGCCTTGACAGAACCACTTACACAGAAATTAGGGTTTAATACTCTTTTAAGTGTATCAGTGTCAGAGGACTCAGATTTATTTCATTAAACAGCTTTGTTTTTTCCTTGCCTGTCCAGCTTCAGGAAGACTAAGTGTCTGTACCTGCCCTTCCTGGTTTAAGGGAAGTAAACTAAAGATGATGAAGACTCCACAGGATATTCCACGCTCACAAGCTGATTCTTGCATAAAATACACAAAGTATCACCAGGGGCAGGAACTTTATATTCATTTCACTGGCCACTAAGTGGTGCCAGCGCATCACGCACAGCCCTGAGCACAGCGGGACTTGTCACAGCAGCAGCTTCTGCTGTCACTCTGTCCTTCCCCGGGACAGGAGTGTCTGCTGGCCCATTCCCACCGTATTTCTGCTTTCATGGTGGCCAAGCAATGTGCCCACTGTCCCCTGGTGCCCCAGGCCGGCTGTGTGCCCTCCTGTGACTACAGCCAATTTCCTTCTGTGCTAAGCAAAGCAAAGCTCCCACTGCTGCAAAGTTTGCAGAACCCCCTCAGGACACACTCCAGAGCTGACAGTACCTGACACACATTTTTTTTCCATTTCACTTACTCAATTACTTTTGATTTATTAAGAAGATTTAAATTCCGCTTCTAGACTGAGACTTTGAGAGCTACAAACATCACACACACACATCCCCCCCAAAAGAAGGAAAAAAAAAAAAGGAGAGAAACAAGTAAATACAAGGAGCATGTAGAAACTAAAAAAACCCAACCAAACAAACAAAAAAAAAACAGAACAAAACAAAAAATTAAAAACCAAGCAAGCATATAGTCTGTCATTTCTCAGTTTGCATGCTTTTCTACTGTTTGGCACTAGGTGCCAGCAAATCCTAAACATAAAAAAGTGAGATCCCAGGGAAACAGGAAAGTCATTAAAAAGTATTCAGCCTTTTGCTTTCAGACCAGGGATCTGGATCCCTCTACAAGCAAAAAGCATGGGCTACACATACCCAGATCAGCTGGAGATGTAACAAACAAACTGCCTGCCTGACCAGGCAGAGCTAAGCTTCAGCCTGTGGTTCTGAGTTGTGTGAGGTTGGACAGAAAGCATCAGCATCACAGCAATTGTGTCACTGCAGTTCTTCTCCTTCATTTATTTACACAGCCTGTGTGGCTTCTCCCAGACTAGAAAACTTTCTCCCCCACTGCTAAATAATTAATATCTGAAATCCTAAGAAATGCAGGACTGAAGAGCTTTCTCTTGCTTAACAAATTAATTCATCAAGATGGCCAGTTCTCAGAGCCAGGTCCTGATTTGGGTATCTGACATTTCTCAAAATCCAACGCCAAAAAAAACCCCAAAACAAAGCTTTCTCTGAGCACAGACACTTCTCCAACCTCCACCTACAATTTTGTTTCTAAAAGGAATGTTCAAATACCATGTTCCCTGTAATCAAAACAGCACACTTCTGTTTATCCTCCCACAAATCACTCTTAAAACCTAGGGATGAGCATGGCAGCTCCCGAGCAAGACAAAGCAATCCATCAGCTTTAATAACCTCTCATCACTCCAACCACCCTGGGCTGGAACTGGAGAGCTGCTGTTGCCACTTCCTTCTCTGCTTTAATTCTTCACTTTTTTGGCCTGATTTGTGTTTCACAACAGGGCAACAAATAACTCTGAAGAACATCTCAGCAGACACCTCTGGCTTTTACATCTGCACTTCAACAAATGTTGTGGGAACGGAATTTTGCAACATGACAGTGAGCGTTGTGCCACGTAAGAGATGGGGCTGCCTTGGGAAAGAGAAGTACCAGAGAGAATATCTTAGCTCAAAGCATTAAAGGAGGGGAATGTTAACATCTGTTTCTGCACACCTTTTAGAGAGACCCTCTCCACTGGTTTACATGCTGGTAGAGCACTCAGCAGCTCATTGGGTTAGCTCAAAAATGACAAAAAAGCTCCTATAGATTCAGACAGTGCTGAATTTGTGATGTCTGAAACTCACCTTCACAGACAAAGAAGAGCATTTGTTCAGAACCAGGGGCTCCTCCCTGGCAGTAACTAACTGCTCCTGTACTACCCAGTGCAGAATTATTTCCAGTTGCTGTAGTCAAACAGATGTGGCTTCCACTCAGTCTGGAGCTGGTGGAAGGGTTTGAAGTGCAGTGATTGTGCTGATGCCCTTTGACATCATTCCCCCTGCTAACTCCTCCCTTCCCACGCAGCATCCATGAACATAGCTCTGTATGCTGGCATCATTGGGGGAGTTGTTGCTGCCATTGTGGTGATTGGGATCATTGCCTACTGCTGCTGCTGCCGGGCAAGCAAGGACACCGACTATGAGATGACGTGAGTACCTCTGCCTGCAGCAGCCAGTGGAACACATGAGGGGTTCTCCTTTTCCCTCCTGAACCAACAGATGGAGCAGAAAGCTGGGGAGAAAAAATATGGGAAAGCATGCACTGCTTTCTCCTTTCAGTGTCCACCCCAGTGACTCCCATCTCTCCTCATGGGACATGCCCAGGAGTCCCAGATACCTTTGTGTCTCTGGGTAGAACCAAATTATTCAAACCTTGCATGTGAATTAGCACACGTGCTATGAAAAAAAAAAAAAACAATAGCTCCCACAACTCTTGTATCACCAGCAAGACTAGATTTGTGGACTTCAGTTGGGTACAGTTCTAGATCAGCTTAGAGCAGTTTAAAAGTATCCTAACACAAAATCTCAGAGAGGTTTCTGGCTGGTTTTGACTAACACCTCTACTCCTGAACAATTTTTTAGGGAGAAAGAAGACAGAAGTTACCCCTCCAGGCAGATGTCAACAAGGCAGGAGAGCACAGAGGAGAATGTGGAGAATGCATGAATGAACAAGCCACGGCCATCTCCAGGATCTGCTGAGGCACAGATATCACTGTTGAAAAGAAATCAATCCCTCTTTCTTACTGCAAGGAGTTGAATTATAAAATGAAAGCCAAAGACTCTGCCTTCAAGCTCTGGGAGAGAACATTATTGCTTCCCTGGAAAGAAGAGCTTGATGTACAGCGAGCATTAAGACAGACTCTCAGAAAAATGCACGTGGAGCACTGCTGCACCCAGTCAGAATCATCCAAAAATAACCAGTCTTCCAGACTTCCAACTTTCTGAAAAAAGAAACCAGTCAGGTTTATTTGGAGAACACAAGAACAGAGCTGCTGATGTATCCCCAGATCCACAAAAGGTTTCAAGGTCACCAACGGCATTTCATCAAGGAAGGGTGGTTTTGTTTATTGAGTCATGCAAATGCCACAGCTTTCACCATTTCCCAACACAAACTTTTTTTTTTTATGGAGGTTGAAGCAAGATGATTTTTAAAGACATTTTTAAAAATGTGTTCTTTGTATATATTATACATGCACATATGAATAAAGATATGGAAAAAAATTATCAATGACCAATTAGACTCCTGTTTGGGACAACAATACATAATAATGTAACAGATAAGGTAACAACTTAGATGGGCAGCTGGTAAGAACTAGAAACAATCCAGCCTATTTACTGTCAGACTCCTGAATTGCTGAGTTCTAGCTCCCAGAGCTCCTAATTTTCATTACATTACTCTTTCCTCCTGATTGTTGCATGGGCAAGTCAGAAATAGTCCATTGCTCCTGCTGCTTCTGAAAAAATAACAATGTGAGAGCACGTACATGACAAGTACATCCTTAATTTAAAAGAAAAAGGAGAGGGGAAGGAAGAAGGAAAAAAAACTTTTTATTCAAAACTGTAACAATTTAATCAGAAGCATTGCATTTTATGTGCAAGAGGTGTGCAAATGTGGAGGGAATTCTTAACACTGGTATCTTTGGAAGAGAATGGACTGTCCATCAATGGGTATTAAAGCTAATTAACAGTTTTTGGGGGTTGGTTGCCTTTTTTTGTTCTTTTTGTTTTTTTTCAAGATATGTTTTCAGTAAAATATTTATCCTTTCAAAACTCCTTACTGCATCTTCAACTTTGGGAGTTTCAGAAAATTACAGCAATGCCTCTCACATACCCATTACCCCCGTTACTGAAATAAAAATCTAAAATTTAACTTCAGAGAAGAACCAGCCATCCTCCTACACATGACCAGCATTTTCTAGATTTCAAACTATGAAAATCACCCTACCAGAACTGTAATTCTGGCTTGCTTTCTGGCTGCCTTTGTTTTACATAATACTTAAAATTAATCATTTGTAGTAATAACAACTGCAAAAACCAACAACAGGAGTTCTTTACAAAGAACACACACATCTAAATCTCTCTGACAATGGACAACCTGAAACACAAGACATTCTGAGGACCTTTTCTCATGATACATGACAAAACATTGCAAAAATGGATGGCTAAAAAAGAACATTGCACAGAGACAGTGAAGGCAGATAAAAAATGAAGTGCAGAGCTCAGAAGCAGAGCTGTAACAAGCAAGTATAGTGTGAATTATCTAATTACCATTGTAACACATTTATACTGTGAAACAAAAGCTATTTCTTTTATAAATGTTACAGACATTAGTCAGCACAACCTGTTTCCTCCACCAAAACCCTGTGGCTGAAGAGAACTTCTGCTGAGGGATAATAGTGTGGATTCTGAAAGATCTTAACTGGAAAGTCCAGCAAAAGGACTTGAAAGTTATCAGCAGAAGAACACCAGAATATAGTCAGAAACTGGCTGTGGCCACTAAACCATTGTAACACTCTGCTTCCTGTCCCGTACTCTTCACTTTTAGGATAGGTGAAGCTTAATTTTGCTGTTTGTCAGCTGAAGTCTTCAAGTAGCACTTGCATAGTGGTCATTTTAGGGGTGAAGGAAAATACAGATTAGCAGTAAGCAACTGCCTTAAGTTGTCCAAAGAAACCAGCCACAAAATATAGAGGAGTTTATAAAATGACCCCCAAACCCATGAATTTAATTCTCTGTAAGCAGATTCTATAAGACCTAGCAGAGGAAAAGCAAGAGAGTCCAACTTGACATTTAAAGCAGAACTGTAAGTTCTGCAATGCTAAGGCCAGCTCTGCACTGAGAAATAAACTAAGTGATAGCATATGGAGATATGGCTGAGATAATTCAGTGCTGCTTATAATTTTTTACCGTTTTTAAAATACCTTGGAAGTAGTGCATTTATCAGAATGCTTTATGTGTTTTTCCTCAACAAATTCGTTCTACTCTGTCAGCCAGAAATACACAAATACACATATTCATACTCATGCCTTATTCCAGGGTTTTCCTGTGACTGAATTAATTTCCTGCCTGTATGTCTTTTGAAGCAGGAATAACTCCAAGAGTAACCTGTAGCATAACCACAACCTTATACAAAATTAAACCAGTAATAATGAATTTGAAGGGAAGATAAATTAAGCTAGTGATACTTAATTAATTCCAAAGAGTTAATGTATGTATACCGAACTTCAATAACCACCTCCCCCAAAAGGCAGGAAGGAGGGAGAAAATGTATGACCAGGTAGAAAAGTAAATTCCTACTTTATGCCTCACATAGCAAACAGTAAACTACTGTTTAGTTATGCTCAACTTTCTTTATTCAAAAACTTAGCACAGAAAGCAAACAGGCTGGTCAGGCATGATTTTGCAAGGGCAAATCCATGCTGACTCTTTCCAGTCCCCCACTTCTCCTTCATGTACCCAAAACCACATTCCAAGAGGGCTTGCTCCATAATTTTTCCAAGCAGTGCAATGGAACTGAGCAGCCCAGGCTTTCCTAGATCACCTTTTTGACAGATGGGTGCAGTATTTGCCTCCCATTGCTGCAGACTCCCTGTGCTCTCTGTGACCTTCCAAAGGTGAGAGAACAGCCTCAAAAAGGTGTCAGTGAACTTCCTCAGCATCCTGGGATGCAGCACATCTGGCTTGAGGGACTGCATGGGTCTGGAACTCCCACTGCTGCTGTTCTCCTCCCTGAACCCTTCCTGAGTACAGATTTGCTTTTCAAACAACACCCCAACAGCCCTGGCCAGTGTTCATGGATCCTTTCTTTGTAGCCCACACCTGCTTCTCTCTCCCTTACACTACACTAGGACTAGAATTCAGCCACAAGATCCCTGTGAAGACAAGAATCTTCCCAATCAATGTCCCTGCATTCCTGGATTGCTCTTATACTTGGGAGTCCTTAAAGAACCGCCAACCTTAATGCTCCTTTATCCCACAGAGCTCGCTCCAGGGATTCCACCCCTCCTCACTTGCCACAGAACCACCAAGACCTGCTCTCACAGGATCTTGGCAAGTATTTCCAATATTACAGACACACAAAAGCTGGTGCTGCCGCAGCCCCCTTCAAGATTCAGTACAGTTCACAATTCACAGCTTGTCAGAAAGACAAGAGTTAATTACCTCACCATCCTTGTTGCTAGAGCAACTGCACTCCTTTTCTGTTTATTTGTATCAAATGTTCCAGGAAAGACACCGAGGCAGTGTTCCTGATGAAGTTCACAGTACAATGATCAAATCTCCAAGATTAATTCTGGATGCGTTGGAGCTACTACTGAATTTATTACAGCCCAACATAAGGGAATTTGTAACTTCTGCTGCACTTCACCTGCTCACTAGGGGCTGAAGGGAATTATATGAAGATGGCAGTTAGAGAAGTTTATGGGAACCTCTAAGACAGAACCACAGAAAAGTGAGAGAACAGAGATAATACAGGGTTAGATTAATAGAAGTGTTTGCCAATTTAATTGTACTAAATCATTGCAATAAAATTTATTGGCAGGCCACTCTAGGGTGACAGTAAGGAATGCTACTCCTGCAGAAGTCATCAAGAGGGCAGAAACTAGATAACCAACTTGTTTTTCTCCTGCTCCACCACAGTACATTTACTCTGCCAAAAGGAATGATATTGTTAAAGCCTTTGCAGTCAGCTGCAGCTACTTCTATCTATCAACCAGGAAATAAACCCAGTTTCACATATATACTTGAGTCACTTCACTTTTGGGCAAAGTTAGAGATCCTTGCTAGCAGAAAGGGTTAGCACTTTTTAGTTCAACTAACAGATCCAAAAGCACAGCCCCTCTATGATAATTATGCAGGTTTTAAAAAAACTTAGCAGGAAAAGAAAAATACAACTATTTTACAAGAAAATTGAGACAGGGTTTCCTAAAACAGGTTTTCATTCATCCCAAACAAGTACTTTTCCAGAAGAATCTGACCTTCAGCACACCACAACTGGACTGTGACAGCTCATGATCCAGAATCCCTGAGATGGCAGCAAGTTCCCTAGTGGGGAATGAGTCAGCACAGACCTCACTCTAGGCAGCTGGCACAGGACACACCCCATGGAATGAGTATCAGCTGCTGCTGTTTGATCCAGGGTCACAGCACTGCTTCCTCCAGCCTCACACCTAACAGATCCTCCACACAGACAATTCCCACCAATACTGCTTTGTTTCTATCTTTTAGGATTTGGACGAGTGACACATTGCTAAGGATGCTATAAAGATTTCTCTTACCTTAGACACAGCAAACACTCTCTGATAACATAACAGTTATAATGCAGATCCCAGAACTGGCATCAAGAGCCAAGAGATAGCATGGCTTCCCTTTCCACACATCACTCACTGTCCAGCTTCTTCCCTCACACTTGGGAGGTGATGAGGGAGAGCTGCTCTCCATGTGAGAGAGCAGCTGGAATGCAGATCTGCACCTGGGAACAAACACTGAGCCAGCTGAAGCTCTCAGGCTGGACACAAAGGAGAAGCCAACATGGGTGACATTCCAGGGATGTCTACTGCAGATGGCTCCACCAGAGGGAAGCTCTCAAGGCCTTCGTCAGACACAGTGAGGAGCCTGACACTCCTGACAGAAGTGTCTGAGGAGCCAAGGTGGTCTCTGCTGGATCTCAGCCTTATGGACAAGAAATAACTGGGCAGGGATGTGAAGGCCAGAGGGCAAATTTAGCTTCAGTAACCATGAGATAATAGACTCTAGGATGGAAAGAGGGAGGAAAACAGCAAAAAGCAGCATCACAGCCTTGGACCTCAGGAGAGCAGTCCTTGGCCTTGTTCACAGACCTGCTTGGAAGACTCCTGTGGCACATGGTGCTGGAAAGAGATCCAGGCGAGCCCGGTGGTTTTTCAATTATCACCTCCTCCAACACAAATAGCAAAATAAGCGGACCAAGGAGCTCCTGACAAAAGCCACCCTTGAAAAGGAAACACGCAGGAGACAGCAGCAGGGATAATGACTGGGGAGAAACACAGAGGTGCTGTGTGCAGGTATAAGGATAGGAAAAGCCAAAGCACACCCAAAGCTGCATCCAGGGAAGCACATGGAGAGCAAAAATGATTGCTGTGGGTGCAGCTGAGTGAGAATGGGCAACCGGTCATGAAGGACAAGGCTAAGGCCACCTTCACCTTGAGCTTTAATGGTAAGATCAGCCTTCCAAAGCAAAATTCAAATTAAAGATGTCAAAACCAGGTTTTGCTGTATCTACAATATATATGTGTGCCTCTGAGAGAATGCTGGAATTTCTACCACATCCCTGCTTCCTGCAGTTTATTGGAAGGAGAAGGTGGACAAGCCAGCAATGCATAAGTAACAGTTAAATTAAAAGCAACAGCAACTGCAGTGTTTACTCTATGCTAACATACTTTATTTTTCAGTATCAGTTACATGCTCTAAATAGAATGTAAAAGAAATGATTACAATGTACTGATATAGACTGGATCAGCAAAGCTGTCACTACTGGTATTGTTTTCGTGACTCTCAGACAAAACTGGCCAAAAACCTTTAGAGTAGCAATGCACAATTCAACCACTTCTACTATGATTTTAACAAGAGCAAAAATACCTAACAACTTTGCCATGTGTGTGTTAAACCAGGATGGCTTTTACCCATTGCTGTCAGGGGAGAGTCAGGTGCTCTAACAGGAGGGCAGAAAGTCAGGTCTGATAGAACCTTTACAAAAACAGCTCTTTAGCCAGTTCAAGACATCTGCTACCAAACACCCACATGCAGAGTGCTGTCACCATTACATTTTATCCTGTGGAAGGGACAGGTTTAGAGCTCCCAGGCTGCACCACTCAAACTCTGCTCAAGAGCCATTCTGCCCTGTCTTGGTTTTGTGTCTCCTTGAGAATTTTGTCCTGATTTTGACAGAGTTTGTGCCTTACCACTACTGCTCCTTGCACTTAGGAAGTGGGCTAAGGTTGCAATCCCTCATCTTTACTTAAAGGAGAGAAGCATTACATTATTGGGCTTGTTTTTCAGAATTTATTTTTCCAGAAATCAACCAGAGTCACAAGTCGCAGAACAGCCAGGGAAGCTTCAAAATGAAAGAGTTTTCTATCATCCTTCAACAGCTGTTAAGGTTCCCCCTCAATAAATGAAGAATAACAGTATGAAGTGGGCTACTTTTAAGTTAGTGTACTCATTCTAATGGCACAGATCTTATGATTTTTCACTACAAAAAACCCCCTCTAGAGTTGTTGGTTATTACAGTAATACAGTTACTGCCCCAGTTAACAGCCCACTGCCTACAGCATATAATTAGATCTTCTACATCTTATGTGCTATTTTAATTTACAGGTGATAAGGTAGAGATATGCCATGGAATCCTAATGGCATTTTCCCACTTCTGCTCACATTCTTTATCTCAGTCTTGATATGCAATATATTAAGCTTAGTTAAAAATGTTCTTTGGTTTATGTACTTAACACCGAGTAACTATTTTAACAATATTTTTAATGAATTCTCTGCTATATAAGAACTGAAACAAACTTTTATTGCAGCAGTGAACTCTGAAAATACTTGAAAAACAATAGTTCTGTACATTATGAAGTATCAATGCAGCAATAGCTGTCAGTTAAAGATCTTGGACCACTCTATACAAATGCAGAAAAGCTTTTAGCACTATCAAGATAGACACTCTCAGTCTGTTACAACATTCCCGGGCAGGCGCTTCATTGGCAAATTTCAGCCTCAGAGCTTCTTTGTCCTTTATATGGTGAAAATTAGCACGTAGAATAGCAGCCTCCAAAGAAAGGAAATAGAGAATCGATTGAGGAAATGCAGTGATAAAGGTGAACAGTTAGGCAAGAAGAGAAATGATTCAGTGATCCTAAAATACTGGAAGAAAGGGTTCAACTGGCCTTACAGCAACTGTAAGAGGTTTCCAACTAAACCAGCACTTGGCCCTTGCTGACACACTGTCCAGCACGCTCAATAAACCTCTTATTTTGGCTGCATTTTGGGTTTTGCTTGCATTTACTTTGTTGGTTTTTTTCCCCTTATTCAAGGGAATGAACCACTTCATCTTGAGTTTCAGTACCTACAAAAAACAAAATCTTCACACAGTTAGTTGCTATGGAAATAGTAATAGTATTTCAAAACTGGACATCTGTTGGTACAAAATCAAGGAACAACTTAACAAAATAAGCTCTTATTTCTCAGAATCACTTGCTTAGGAGACACATGGACTAAGCACAAGGCTCAGACAACTTTTTAGGATTAGTCCAAGCAATACCTCCATAAAAAGGAACATTTAACTTCCCTAGAAAATGTCAGACAGTGTCCTACTTTTCTGTTTGTCTGTTTGTATTACAGCAAACCTTTGGGAAACTTTTTAAATTTATTCTCCTAGGAAATTCCCTTCACATCCTCAATGCCTTCCCCCCTGCATCAGTTTTTGAAGCAAGATTGTAACACACTCAAATTCCATCTTCCACATGCACGAGATGGCAATGTTATTGAAGAAGAAATAAAGCAAAAAGTTTAAGTTGTTTAGTGACAATGGTCAATACAGAAGTCTTCTAATTCAATTATATTGAGTAATCAATCTTGAATTTGCATTCCATTCATTAAGAAATACAACTAGCACAGCATGCAGTTTTAAAGATGTGACTGTCAGGTCTCTTCAAGGTAAGTCTTCCTGTAGATATTGAACAAGATTTTTTATCTTCTTTAAATCCAGTCAATAGTTTTATCATTCTGACAAGAACTCCAACTGTCAAGGTTTGCACAGAACATGAAAAACTGCAGTCTGGAGAAACTACTAGTTATCTCAGGGAAACAGAGAAAATTAGAATTTACAGCTGTCCTGGATGTGAAAGAGATTTTCAATGACTGAAAGACTTGGATAGACCAGTTGCACTTCTCAGCAATCGAATAACTCCTCTTCCTTGGACAACACTTGTTCCATAAGGGAAGGTCTTCACACCACATGGAGAACCACCTATTAAATTAAATACAGTTTGCACATCAAATCAGCCTTTAAAGCTTGCATAAATGGAATTGTTCTTCATATGCTGTGGAGCTGAACCTATTCAACAGCTCTGATACAAAAAGTCAGGCAGGTCGTGTCCACCATAAACACCAAGACCATAAGATCACAATCTCCAAGTGGAACAGAGTTTAATTCAGCATGAATCTTATATGCAAGAAATCAAGCTGCAAACTCAGAATTATTACAGTTATTTATTCTGCAAACCTGATTCTGTTCCTCTAAAGGTTAGCTATGAAAATGCCCAGATGAAGCTCAGAGGCCTTCTAAGTAAACACAAATCTTTTCTGCAAAAAGAGACTTTAAAAGACAAGTCTTTTAACCGAGTTGTGATAGAACATTTGCAACAAGGACCAGCTCAGTCTGTACATACAATGATTTGAGAGCATGGAGAGTATTTTAAACATGGCCTTGTCTCAAAGCACCTGGGCATGGGAATGGCTTCATGTAACAGAAAAGCATAAACTGGAGACAAACATTACTAAGAAAAACAGAATTTTGAGAGATGTTTTCAACCTAGTAAGAAAAGGCCAGTTCTTCATGCTTGAATCTTCAGAAATTCAGTGACAGCCAGACACAAGAATAAGCACAGCTCACAGAGAGCTGTGCACCACTAACAGGCAACATCTAAGCCCAGAAATTTTAAATTTAATCCAGTTGTTGCTTTTTCAAGATCTCTTTCTGCTTAAAAAAAAGTGAAAGTTTCAAACTCACTATTAGAAGGGAAAAACTCTTGATCTTGTCTGGGAGAACCTAAAGGTTTGTCACATCCAGAACTCTCTGGTTTCATTTTCTGTATGGAAAAATAAATATTCAAAATAAGGTACATGTATCTGCTAACAGGAAATACATACCACTATTCATCAAACCTATGAATCATGGACAAAACCCTGCAAGTTCATAAGTCTGCCCAACATATGTCACAAAAGACAGCATCCAAAGACAAAACAGCTCACCTGAAATTGGCAACTGGAAATAAATCAGAGTATCAATGGAAAGAATCTGACCTGGATATGTCCAGCATCCAGTTTCACAATCCTGGTATTTGTGCTTTGATGACAACCAGAGTCTTGCAGAGGGAGGTGAGCTGCTGTTAGTGGGACTCCATACACACTAGCAAAGGATTTACTGATGCAGTAACTTGACCAACGAAAAAGGAAAACAAGAAAAGTTTGGCTAAGAGGGCTGGAATGCTGATGTGTGGAAGCACAGCATTTTATGTTCTTCAACTGGCAAACAAAAGCAGCCAAAGCCTGAGATGCACAGAACAGATACCAGAGGGCAGAAGGACTTCATGGCAGCATCCCTGCATCCTTCCAAGACACCAGTCTGTTGTACAACTACACATGAAATACACAGACTGCATCCCCACATTATCAAAAGCAGCACTCAGAAGTATGAAAAGCAACTTTTTTTGGGGGGGGACATAGCAGTCCACAATGAGTTTTTTGAATGAAAGACTATTATTGTCTATGTGCTACTGCTGCTGTCAACAGAGATCATAAATGGCATTTCCTCGTTTCCCAACTATTTACTTTTCCTTTCTTCCCACCAAAAAGATTACAGAACCTTATGTATCTACATTATATGTCAGGCAGTATAGAAGTTTCCAAAATAGAGATATGCCAGAGAATGCCTCTGAAGTCAAACAGTGAACTGTAATGTAATTAACACTTTTCTCACCATTGCAGTGCTAACAAAACAAAAACCATCATGATGGAGAAAACTCCTCAGCAATACTCACCCCATTTTCTTACAGGATGCCAGAGCACAGCAGATTATATCATTCTCCTCATGCCACTTGCACCTACACAATATTAAGTTTTAGGTTTATTTCAGAAGCACCTACATTGTTAATCAACAAGAACAGTTGGTCTGGCCACATGAACAGGAACAAATATTAAAAATGGTGTATTTTTGTTGCAGTGACCACATAGTGCCTTTAAAATTCCAGAGTTCAATAGCTTTGCCCTAAGTAGTTTATGCAGAGTTTAAAGGTCTGCTTATCAGGCAATCTGCTTCATGCAGAGATGGGGGGCAAGGAGAAATGAGAACCCTAAGAGACAAATGGAATTTAAACCATTTGAACCATTTCAAGTTTCCCATTAATGTGAAATAGCTCCTCACAGCATAAACACCCTCACTTTCCTCTCCAAACATATGTTTTGAAGTACATTCTTTCATTCTCCTTAAGGTCTCCCTCTAGGGTGAGGACACTCATGGAAGCAGAAAACTGACTATAAAAAGACAAAGTGACAATGATGAACCCAATGGATCTTAAAATCCATATTCCAAGTACACTGCCAAGAATAACTTACATGGTTTTTTAAAACCTACTGAAATTTAAGATCGAATTATTGGTTCTTTTCTTAAATTAGTAGCAGAGGAAGCATTGGAGTCTATTTCTAAATTAACTGCATAAACACCCAATATGCTCCTGCAACACTGCAAGCAAATAGCACTTTTTGTACCAACACAGAAGAATCTGGAAGCAGGCACATTTACACAAAGAACCACCCAACACACCTGGTATTACTGGAGAAATCCCACAGACAGACATCCAGTTTTCTATACACCCAGATCTTGGATGGCTCCTTTTGGTATTTCTTCTGGTACAGTTTCATTATCAGGTCTTCTATAGCAAAAAGCTCCCAGTGGCTCTCAATGCCTACAGTTCAGTGAAAATCCAGGCCAGGAGAACAGGAGTCACTGAATATCCTGCTCAGCTCATTGCTCAGTCAGTCCCTGTTTCACTGCCCAGCCTCTTATCACCGCATCAAAGTTCAAAGATATTCCACCAGTGGTTTTAATAAAACCTCTCTTCCTAGAAAGTGGTGGGAGAAAGGAAGAGGAAGGAGCATGCAAAGCAGTTTTAGCTGTCAGCACCAGCTTTTATGAAAACTTTGAGACACACTTTTCAGACAAATACAGCTGTCCCTGATTACACAGCCCTTATTTCTGGGGGCAGGAGGGGAAAAGGATGGACAAAAATGACCCATTTCCTACCTGTTATGCTGGCCATTCGACCAAGACACCAGTTAATTCGGAATCTGTCATTAGACTGGAGGGAAAAAAGACTTCTGTCATCTCAAAGGAGTACAGTATAAAATTCTGACACTTCCATGACTTCTGACGAGGTCTGAAAATGTCACCTCCAAACCAAAATTGTTTGTGGCACTGAATGCAATCTCCCTGATAATTATCTTGAAGAGGAACCAAATTTCATGCATAATTCTTCAGAGCCCTCTGTTTATGGATGGAGCCCAAGATCTTGTCCCTCCCTACTTTTTGAAGATTAGGATGAGGTTTGAATTGAATTGAAACATAACACACCTGTTATGAAACTTAAACACCTCTAACATTTTATTCTGTTCACTGGAAAATGAAACTTGAGCAAAAATTTAAGACACGTGCTGTTCTCATGGGGAAAAGAGTCACAAAAACGTAAAAATATCCTTTCAAAAAAGCAGGATTTATGACTATTATTGAGCACATCCAATTTAAGTCAAATCTTAGGAGCCCTTAACCAAAGTCATAACAATGTCAGAGAACAATAGACCCCGCTCATCAGTAGATTAGAGCCAGAAGTGCAGACTGAAAATAAGAAGGCAGAAAATTAGGTCTCTGCTTTATAAAGAGGTTGGCTTCTAGAGGCCATTTCTTTCTGCATGGAACTGGGACACTTTGGAAAAAGTGTCTCTCCCTACTTATATGCACACTGATAGGTTTTAGAGTGAAGTATCTCCTTAGCCATCCAATGGGAGTAAAAGCAGAAGCTGAGACTTAGAGCTTTGACCTTGACCATACCCTGCAGAAGAAGCGAGGCTGAGCACCTCTGGCTGGCTGGGCAAACTCAAGGAGTTCCTGTAGGACAACTGCATAACAAGAACGAGGAAGGTGAAATCCAGATATAGGGATCTTATGTGTTTCATCACCTAATGGAGGGGGGAAGGGGCACAGGAAGAAAAAAAAAAAACAAAAAAACCAACAAAAAACCACAAAGTTGAGAAGTCCAGTTTCCTTAAGAGATCCACAAACACACACACTCCTCCCTCTCCACAGACAGGGCCGGTGTTTAAGCTACCAAACCCTTGCTTTTGTCAGCAGCTCTGGGCTGTGAGCAAACACTCACACTCCTGTCCCTTTTAAAAGGCCATTATCCAAGTATTAGATGTAGGAAAACAGGGCCAAGTTTGTTCCCTCTGTACACAAGGAGAGGAAATGTCCTAATAGAAACAAACTGGAGACTATAAACATTTACTGAGAGTCACAAAGGAAACAGGCAGGCCAAGCCAGACACAACAATGGTGTAGATACTTTTGTTAATATATGCCAAGCTGCTAAATATAACTTTTAAATATAAAGCAGTATCTTTGAGTTACCCTGTTGTTAATTAGCATGTCATGCTGAAGATACACACTATCAAGACTTAGAAAACATTTAGCTAGAGGTCAGATAAGCTGAGTCTAAAACTGCACACCTCTGCACACCGTTCTTTTTCTCCATTAATACTCACCAGCAGCCTGGCAGTGGTACCGAAAACCACGTGGTGGTACTTCTGCAAAAAAAGAGGAGAAAGTACAATCATCATCCAACACCACCAAGGAGAGATCCTTAACTCTCAACTATACATCTCAGCTTCACATGCAGAAAAGAACAGCTTCACCTTCCCTTGTGGCCCTGTAAAAGTACCACAAGTACTTTTGGAAAAGTTATTTTCAGTTGGATGCATTTTAAAAGAAGGGCATTGTAGAGTGTGTTTAGGTCCAATTGAGAGAAACATTCATTGACATGGAATATAAAGCACAAACATGTGCAGGTCCTCCTGGATTTAGTCTACACTCTTTGGAATTACATGAAGTTCTGACACTAATTCTCTTCAGAAACAAGCCCAGCACCGTTCTGATACGTTAAGAAGTCTGACCATCTATAATCAAAGAAATAAACTTGTCTTAACACCAGTAGTCTAGCCTGGGCAGCAGTGATTCCAGAAAGCCTCCCTCTCACCCCAGTACCTCTCTGACTTTCTTGGAGCTCACCTGGATCTATGAAGTGGTGGAAATCAGCCACGATGCCATCTTGGAGGGAGTATCTGACACACCCAATCTCACAGGGAAGGAAGCGCTGCTCGCACTGGGGTGGCAGCTTCCCATAGCTGTAAATGTCCAGAAAGTAGAAGATGTCTGCAACCATAGCTGAAAGAAAAAGCACAAAACCACCGTCAGACAAGCCACCAGAGGTTACAGAAGCCATGCTGGTCTCACCTCATCCAGGGAAAGCTCTGGTGAACTTTCTCCTATGACTGGGTGAAGAAGGGTAACAACCAAGCAAAACACACAGCTCTTCCTCTGTATCCAAGATGACAAGGTAACAACACTTCTGCAGAATTCAGGCACATTGGTAGTGCTGATACACCTTCCAGAGATCCTACTGTATGTAGACATGGGGCAAAAAACCAAATAAATACAAGCATCTATAAAAAAGAAAAGCCAACCTCCAAACCCACAAGGTGTTAAGAGGTCTGCAATCCAACAGGAACTATTATTCTTTTTAAGGATAGTCTCTTTGCCCTTTCAGAAAATAAGGTTAGGGAAAAAAACAAATCAGTAGTCGCAAAACAGTCTCACAAGCTAAATTTGGCAGCTTACAGCACTTAAATGAGTTGGTAGCAATCCTATGGGGCAAGAAGGTGAGAAGTCTGCTACTAAAAGGATTGCTTCTCCTCCACCAAATGAGCTCCCAAAGAAAGCAGCAAGAATACCCAATACAAATGTTAAGAAATGGATTTTTCACTTACTAATTAAAAAGTATCCAAGTATGACAAATATTTTACAATACACCTTAATCCTTCTCTTCATGACTGTCACAATGTCCTTAGTGAAATTTAACATTGCTATTTAATCCTTACTCTAAACTTCTGCCCCTCATCAAAAAAATCCTACTTGCTCTACTAGAGGTGTGTAACTGCCTTGACACATAAAAAATTCTGAATGCCAGACTTTAGAACATTTAACACCAGCTGCCCTGAGCCTGAAAGGTCATACTCCCTTATGTGGGTCTTAAACTGATGTGGGTCTGAAACTGTATGAGCTGAGGGGTCATAGGAAAGACACCTCTCCTACCTTATGAAAAAATGGATATAGCTCCAAGGAACCATACAGAACTTTAACTGAGAAATATTAAGAGCAGCACCATGAAATGTATCTCAATTATCCTTTATCATTATGCCTCTCATTCAGCTGAAAGATCAATTGTGTCAACTCAAGCCAGCATGATCAGCCCAATCAAATCTGCATCACAATGACAGGGGAGCATGACCCCTGGCACAGAGGGCACTAATAAGCATTTCACTTTTTATGGAGCTACTGTTCTTGCTCCCCCATAACCATGACAACATGGAAACAGTTCAAGAGACTTGAGGTAAAAAGCTGGAGCTGTGACTTAACCACACAGCAGATACAGTTAATATGAACTGGCTTCTTGACTTACCTTGTAAGTAACACCTTTCATCATTTTTCAGAATAACATAATAGTCATTGGGTAGAAGATCACAAATGTGCTCACTACCCAACTTGAATTAGAACAACCATTTGAAGACAGGATACAGGCTAGAAAGGTTCAGTTTTCCAGAGTTCTTTCAATAAGGAAGCAAGTCAGGATATTATAAGGACACTGTCAAAGTGCATATTCCCTTTTTCCTTCTCCCAATAAGGTCAGTTTTATTTATTACTTCTATCATACAAATTTTGAACTTTGATATCTAACAATTCTTAACTCTTTGAAATCAGTACAAGTATTCTTTTATGCTGAACTTGGATTAGGACTTGTCAAATCATAAATGCAGGACTTGAAAAATTACCTTTTCCTTAAGAACCTTGAAAAAACTATTAGGAAACTGTTAGTGGCTATACTCCCATTGAGCTAAAAAACAGAGGATAGAATTCTTGGAGGTTGGGAGTGGAACAGTATTTTCCCTGGTATACTTCTACCTTTTACAGCAGCAGCCCAGTAGTGTAAAACATCTGGCACACATGGCTTTTAGCAAAATGTGAACAGTCTTTGTACAGGTACCACTGAGAAGATCCTCAAAGGGCAAGCTCTCATCTACCAGGATCACCTGCTTTAAAAATCACCATACCCTGATCATTCCTCCAAGACAGAGCAGAGGCATCTGGCAGAGGAGTAACACTGGGCACCTTTGTGGTCAGAGGAGCAGGAACTGCATCAGGCACATTAAAAGTCTGGAAAAGATGAGAAAGATAAAAAAACCCCAACAAACAAACAAACAACAGCAAAAGTCTTTTTGCTCCAAATAAAGTCATTCAGCTCCTTTTATCAAAGGAAAATGCAATATCCACTAAGAGCTGTGGTTAGCTGGAAAAGTTTTCTATATAAAAATGCCTGTATACTTGCAGGTCAGGAAGGCAAGATTTCTCTCCAGTACCTTTGTCAACCCATTACAATTTTAAAGAACTACAGCTAAATTTACAAAATGTAATACAAAAGAAAAGAAGGTTCAACCACTTGTCAGAGGCAAGGAACTCTTCAAACTAGAATTTAAAACTTTTCTCCATAAGTTTTATGAAAAAAGCACCTGGCACATGTGTTAGTTGTCGTTGACTAGGAAACAAGTTCATGAAAAGCTGATAAAGCCTTAAGGAAGTAATTGCATAGCTCTGAAAATCCATTAATGAACAATAAGCTTTAAAAAGGATGGGAAAAGAAACCTGGCAGCCTTACAGAATCTGATCATTCAAACCCGAATTGGGAATAACATCCACACCCAGGTACACTGACTGAGGATAACCATCTTAGCCACAGTTAATTGGTTATCAGTTTGAAGTATTTAAAATAACATGAGGAATTATTCTCATCTAAGTAAGCTCTGGCCACCTCCAAAAGAGAAATATGAGCTTTCACTACACAAAGTGACCTTGGCTGTCTGTGTACAGGGCTGGGATTAGTAAAATAAGAGCACATAATCTCATACATTCATATTTGCCTATTTCCACTGACACAGTAAGGATGGTGATCTTTATTCTGGTAAAGCAATTATTCCTCTCCATGATTACAATCTTCTAAAATGCTAACTTGTGGAAGGAAACACAGAAGTCTCCATTTGTGCCATTTCACTTAGTTCTCTTTGACACATAAAAATGGAGTCTCATTAATTACACATGCTCAGCCTGCTAAATAACACAATGATGTTTAAACATTTTAAATAGCTTTTTCCCAGGCAGGCAGGCCCCCAAAATCAAAAAGCATTGCCTAACACCTCCCTTCTAGTCTAGACTGACTAATTTAGCTAATCCATTTTTACTAGCACTCCAAACTACGATCATCCTGTCATTCCCTCTATCACCACGTAAGTGTTTTGGTGTCCTGGAATTTATCCTCACCATTAATTCATAGTTCACAGTCATTAAAAAGTAAATGCAGTATTATCCATTTACTCAGTCAGTAAATGTGACTTTCTTTCCTTGGACACACAAGTGTTTACACTACCAAAGAATACTGAACTGAAATAAACGGACACCTCACATAATTCAAACTCTTAAGTAACTCTGCTTCAGGGAAGTACTAGGAGAGGAAAAGCGACACAAACAAACAAACGAACAGGACAAACACCTTTTCAAGGCAATAAATAGCAGAAATTATCTGTTTAGCACCATTTCCAACCACAACCATACACACTTCACTGTCTACTTCTACACTGTTCTCCACAACAGTGTTACCACTCTCTCCCATATCCAACCAACCTGAAAATAATGGCAGGGTGTAATTATTCCATTTGTGCATAGACCACAACATTTTATTGACCTGGTTCACCACACAGCTCAAGAACAACGAATCAGCTGCTTCTAGGACGTGCTTTCAGGCCACCAAACAAGAACTGCCTAAACCAACGATACCCACAAAGCAAAAGCAACATGAATCTATGACAAGAAGTAACACCAATATACAGTATAATTAAAAAAAAATAAGACAGGCACTGCAAAATACTGTTAAAGCTAGGGTGTTAGAGAACTACATTTTACTTGGTAAAAGAACCGAAAGAAACAAGTTGTGATGATTTGAAGAGGTATTGAGTATTTTCATCCTCGATTCAAACCAGAACAATCACCGCCAAAACCCACATGATGGCATGTACTAATACTGCAGCCATAACCTCCAGAGTTGGCTGGAGGATGTGGAGAGCAGGTGAAACTTCCATAGCATCCTAAGGAATTGACCACACAGAGCTCAGTATCATTCACTCCTCCTTCTTATTGAGGGCATTCCATTCTCAGCATTTACCTGCTTCACTGTCTCCTGAGAGCGCTTCTTGCTATTCCATTTACGAGCCTTCTCTGCATACACTGTCTTCTCTTCCTCTGTCAGGGACTTGAAGGAAAAATCACCTGTTATAAAAAGGTTTCTACCACTTCGTTCTAGCAGTGCCACAAACCAACAAACTCCATGTGTAAGAAATCATTGCTGCACTTCCAAAGGGCATTATCGATGGCTGCCAAGCCTGACTCAAACACTCCCAGTCGCTTTTTTGGTAACAACGCCATGAGCCTTGAATACAAACACCGCAAGGCGAAGGTGGAATACCTCCGGATGAGGGCAAGCCACAAATAAGAAACCTCCTGGAACTATTCCTGCCAGCCAGGGATGCCACCACCCCACACACGGCACACGAACCGCAGCTGAGGGGAGGACGGCACGGCCACCTGAGGCCACACCGGGCAGCCATGTGAGATGGCGCCGAGCCGCCTGCCAGCCCACCCTCAGGAAAGGCCCCGCCGCCATCCCGCCCTCACCTGCCATGCCTGGGAGCAGTAGGGGACGGCGTCCGCCATGTGGGCCACGGGCAGCCCGCGCCGCTCCAGCTCGGGCAGCTGGTCGTGCACGAAGCACGAAAAGGCGCTGCGGCAGCCGCCGCGCACAGCCATGGCGTCGCCCAAGGGCGCTGCCCACACGCGGCAGCAGCGCGGCCCCTCATGAGGGGCGGGCGGGGCGGCGGCCGCGCAGTCCTGCGGTGAGGGCGGCGCCGCCATGACAGCGCCGCCATGACGGCGCCTCGCCGGCCCGCGGGGCGCAGTGAGGCTGTGCTGTCCGCCCGTGTTCGAGCTTTACCTGCTCCTCATCAGCCCTAAAGGAGACTTTATGTGGGACCGACAGCGGCCAACAGGCTCCATAGAACGTTCAGGAGTTGGAATGAACCGTGAAGATGATGTACATCCAGGGACGCCTTCCAGCAGAGCAGGTTGCTCAGAGCTCCGTCCAGCCTGGCCTTGAACGCTTTGCAGGGATGGGCAACTTCCTTTGGCAGCCTGTTCCTGTGCTTCGCCATCCTCACATTAGAAAATTCCTTCTAATATGCAACCTAAGTTTCCTGTCTTTTATAAAATAGACCAAGATATTATATGTCAGTAGAAGCAGATAAGTGGTTTGCACTCCTTAGTTGAGGACATCCTGTAGTGAACAAGCTCTGTGGGTAAAGTAAATCTAGGTGTTGATGTATATATATATATAATATGTATATATTGCCAATCTGGCAAAAGGCTTAAGGCACATGCATCCTGTAGAATCCTAAAATCATCAGGGTTGGAAGAGACCTCTAGGATGATCCATCACTATTGCTGTAAACCCTAAACCACGAAACCACATTATCCAGTGTCACATCCAGATGCCTCCTGAGCATATCTGGATATAGGTGAACTACCTTCATTGTAATATTAAAAATCACACCTCCAGGTTAAAAAGATCCCTGTCTAGGTGAAGAGCTTCCCTGAGTATGCAAAGGAGACAGGTGGGTTTATGTAATTGTATTGTAATTATTACCAATCATACTTGGGACATACTAACACATTTTTGTGTGTAAGTAATGGCATGGAAAGCCCAGTGGGCTGTGCTTGATTTGTGAAATACCACCAAGCACCCAAGCTTGTGCAACTCCAAAATAAGTAAATAATCAATGTCTCTTTCAAGTGTGTAATTATTGGCTGAATCTGAATCTGAATTTTGTGGACAACAACCTCACAGCAGGTCCTGATGAGAGTGTGGCATGGCAGCTTTTCTTAATTTATTATATTTTTAGTGTTCTTTGGGTGCTGAAGGATAAGAAATACCCCATGGGAGCAGGAGCTTGCACCAGGTTCAGGAAGGAGAAGGGGAAAAAGTAGAGACAAACTTTAGGTGAAAACCCTGGGTTTAGTTTTGAGATATATGGCAGGAAAGTGGAGGAGGTGAGTGAGCATGTGTGTGCTTGGAAGGGCAAACTTATTAAAGGTTATTTTATTTATTAAAGGTTATTTGGGATCTCATGTTGCACAAAACTGAGGCTGCTGTTCAGACTCTCTTTGTGGTTTTGGGTTGTTTTTTGTGGCTGTTGGGGTTTTTCCCTTTCATCTATCTCATTGACATAACTGACACTTCACTGAAAGTGCATAGGGAACCACAGTTCAGATGAAATAAAAGCTGGAAATAATCTGACCTGCATCATCTTGATAAGTGGCACAGAGTTGCTTCCTGCCTTAAGCTTATTGATCTCTCTCAAAAATCAAATGATCTTCACTGGCCATAGTAAAAATAAATAAATAAAGAGAAGTTAGCAGGGCAGTAATCACAGCAGGTCAATAATCACAATTGTCTTTAAAACAAAGTTTAATCAGTTTGAAGAAATCTGGTTGCCTGGAACAGAGGACACTACATTTGACATGAGACAGGGTTACTGAAGGGGCAATACTGGCATAGGCCCTCATTAACTTCTGGCCTGGGTTTCCTTGGTCAGGGCATGTGATGTCTCCCACATTCCTCACTGTTCCCCTGTCTTTTGGGGAATTCCCTCAGCATCCCTCTCTTCTCATGCAGCCATCTTCAGTGGAGTTATCCTGACAGTCTCCATGAAAATAAATAGTGCTGCACTGACATGGAAGATTCTTTGCAATTCTCCAGCCCAGAATCCTCTTGAATTTACTGTAAACTTAGACATGAGGATAAAACCAGCGATGAGACACATCCATACATTTCCAAATCATTGGAAAAATCTGCCTCTTTACCCCAATCTAGTGCTTTTTTTCATCTTTGGCTAAGTCTGCACAGCTCCAAAGGAGGTAGCTGTTGTTCAGGCTTAAATCTTTGACTTAGCTGATTAAGTTTGTCAGTGCTGGAACTGCTATCAGGTAAGGTTAGACCAGATAGCTCTTGCTCTTGCATCTCCCTGGTGGCTGGTTTCTCTGAGGGTTAAAAAATGCTGGCTCATTCTGGAGGCATTTCTGTCTTGCTCAAATCTTGTGAAACAGTTTGGTTTGTGTTCTACTTTTGAAATTTGTGTTAAACATACAGGAGGAGTCAATCACATTGTTAAAAATGTAGAAAATCATGACACAGCCTCAGTGAGAACAGGTAAGCATTTCAAAAGTCACTTTTACTGCTGTGGAAAATAATTTATATTCCAGTCTAGTTTCAGATACATTAATGCTTAAGTCTCTAAGGAAAGACTGCAAGAAATGACTTGTATCTTGTAAATATAAACATCTGCACAGAGCCTGGTTCTTTCAGGCAGAAAGGCAAGTGTTTACTGTTACATTACTGTAAGAGCTGTTGCTAGGAGTGCATCTGTGCACTTGTGTTTTATTTTTCTTCACATCATATTCTTTTCTCTCGTGTGCAGCTTTGGGACCCACCCTTCAGCAGCCCTTCCTTTCAAAGAAATTCAGATAATGTGTGCATCAACTGTTTGAAAAACACAAGGCTCCAGTGATAGCTCTCCTAGGGCTAAGAGGTGTGGTTGGAAAATAAAATTTATGAGCAGTAGAGAGAGAAAGGATTTTCCTGTGTGGGGTGGGGGTCAGATTAAACAAACAGGGAACAGATCATCTTCAGAGCATCATACCATCAGTATTCTTCCCCAGAGCCCTGAGGAGAGCTCACTGCCTCTGAAGAAACTCATGTTTTAAATCTTCATTTGTCTGCTGTTTAACTTAGCAGGCAAAGGACTTTTCTGGACCATTTACAGTGATTTGAAAATAACATTTGTACCACTGGAGCCCTTCCAGCAGATAGCAACAAGTGTTGTGTCAGTGTTTTATATTACTTGTTGAGTTTTGTTGTTTTGTTTTTTTTTTTTCATTTAAATGCCAACACTTTAAGTCCTCTGTACCTGGCTTTGGAAACACTTCTCCAGAATTTACAAAATCAGTATAAATGGTCCAAAGAACACCTCTGCCAGCCTGTGCTTTTCCATCAATGCATGGAGTTTGCCAGTATCTTAAAATAGGGTGTATGTACCCTGGTACTATAAGGACAGCAAAACTATCTGGAGCTTTGCTGCCAGTAATGTATTTTCATTCATTCATTTCATTCAAGGCTATAATATTTCCTTGCAGTTTTTTGGTAAGAAATAATGGGCATAAAGAAAGAAAGTGATTTTAAAAAATATGACAGTAGCAGTGACTACCTCTGCTGTTCCCCTTGATTACCTGCTGGTCTGAGTCTGCAGCACTCCCCCACAAAGGGAAATATTTGGTGTTTACATTGGAGGAATCAGGCCAGATCCATCAGCCCAGGAGAGGCGAGGCTGATGCAACTCCACACTCCAGGTCCAAGTGAAGGGAGGTCAAGTATGTATTCCCAGCCTAACCCAGCTCCTCCTCTGGTTTTCCCATTAGAGATGAGCCCTCCTCTCCCCCTCCCTGGCTCTCAGGGCACAACCACCTTCCCACAGAGAAGTCCAGCTGGATTGTAACTAACGCTGTCACACTCAAACCCTCCTGGCAGCACTGACATGAGGGGTGCTGGCTGCTGGGCTGCTCTAGGGGACAGTAATGCTGGTCACTCCCTCGGGGCTCTCCAGCTGCTGGCACCCAGCCACACCAGTGCCTGCAGTCCAGACCCAGCTGGTGGCACCCAGATGTCATTCATTCCAGTTCCTGGCCCCAGGGACACGTAGGGGCTCTATCTACCGACAGTCCCACTCCACGTGCTGGCATTTAAGTCGACTTACTCCTGTCTGTCCAGTCGCTGTCACCTAGGCACACGGAATCTCCCACCCATGGCGTGACTAGAGGCTGGCACCAGACCTCCATACATATGCACGCACCCAAAACAGAGAGTTGTTCACTAAGAAAAAAGTTTTAAAGCAATTTAATAAGAAGAAAGGAATGCAGTGTACCTGAGGGATAAGCATATCACCCAACAAACTCTTCACACACAACTGGCTCTTTCTATTGCCTTATCCATCTACTTCTCTTACTTATTCCTTCCCAAATCACCTAGATCTCTCCCTTTCTTTGCCTTTGATTCTTTCCCTAATCATTCCACAAGGAGTCCTCTGCAATCCTGAAATGCTCTTCCCTTTGCATCCTCTAGTAAGTCCTGTATCTGTAGGATGCAGTCCCCCTCAGTCCTTCAGTTGTTGTGTTGGCTCATCTTGATAGGCTCCAGCCTGCACCCTGGGGCCGAGGCTTTCCTGGGACAGCCCTGGCAAGAGCCCAGAATGGTTTTCCTTTGTTTTGAGTTTCTGTCCTAGGGTTCTCATCTTCCATTGTGTCCCTGCGTTTCTTTGGACTTGTGAAAATAGGCCACTGATGAGCTTTTGTGATGAGTGTGGGAGGAGCCAGGGCAGGGTGTTAGTTGGGCTACCAACCATTGAGGTGCCATTGTCTGCACTCCTTTGTGTGCTTTGGAGACAAGCTTTTGTCACATAATCTCACGGCTGATTTCTTTCTCAGCCTGGTTATGGAGATTTTAAAACCTACAAATTCTCTGGAGAGTGATACAAAGTATAGACCAGTAATTATTATTGTTTCACACTAATGCATAAACATCTCAGGGATGAGAGCCTGCAGGCTTCCCTTTCCCAAGAGAATGATTGAACAAGTCAGCTACAGCTCCCAGCTTCTCTTTTGACCTTTTGATTTAGTGAATCTTGGGTTTCTTTTTGAATAGT